ACATGTACATAATGATAATCCGGATTTTTAAAATCTAATCCACATTTTAAAGTATATATCGTTGTCTACCTACACCTGGTTATCACTAATTACCTATATAAATAATTTATAATTGAATACCTTACAATTAATTGATTTTAAAATTTTGACATGTGCAACAAAATTTAAAACTATAAGAAGATACAAAGAGATGAATCAAAAACAAAAACTACGACATCATGACCAAACGGCTCAGATCGGAAGACATACAAGTTATCAAAATATTACACCGGAAACATAACACTGAGAAATATCAACCCAACAAACATATGTTATAGACTATAAAACGCTCTGGAAGGGTAAATCGCATATGCCCTACGTCGTGGCGCTCATGACAAACAAAACATGAAAGGATAATTCACATACAGAGATGTTAATTTCATCTAGAAAAGGAAGACGAATTGTCAGAAATATAAATTGAATATGTGAGAGATATTTCAATACGGTAAACGAAATCATTACTGCTTCTACAAGACTGTCGAAGTGATGATTATAAAATTACCAGCGAAAATCATTGGTTGAATAGGAAATAATGATAGCAATTGGAAGCCTCTTATACCATATGAGTGGGATGATAATATACTCCGTATCTAAAGGAGCTGCTGGAATTTCGTGACAAAACAATTAAGTGAGTAATACACACAATTGTTCTTAATAGTCAAGTTGACCACGTGAATGTTTTACGTATGCATTTACGGACTTATTTTTTTTTAAATTCAATGAAAATTAATTCCACAAATAACAATATATATGTCTTAGTTCTAACATTATATACGAACAGATGTACTAAAATTCCAAGTGTCAAAACCTTAAGACAATTGACGAAAGAAAATTAAATATCTTTATTGAATATGGATCTGAGATAGTCTTGTATGTTTTCAACACGTCGTATAATTACGTTACATATCTAAAGATGACAAGATAAACGTTCCCGCACAATCGTATCACAACACATACGATCAGCGGTTAATCAAGCTGACTTGGTTCGTTGTTTACAAGATTATCAATATGAAAAATTGGCAAAATATCAACACACTCAAGGCTTATATCTTTTAAACATATTAGTATCGTTCCAATTAAAGGGTCATCATTTTCGGAACTATCTTTCATTAACATATCATAATTTTTATACATCTACCATGTTTGGGAAACGGCCCCAAATATTAAAGTTATTAAATGTTTCATTAATTCATATTTTAAAAGAATAATGTCAAATTTTGGAATTATTTAGTCTCAACTATACATGTTATATTTCAACAAAATAGAAAAGTTTAATTACACATAACACATTTTCTTTGTAAAACTGAAATATCAATGTAAGTTGGCATAATAAGTTTATCTAGTTTTGTCTCGCCTTGACGGAGTCAAAAAGCGAGACATAAGTATGCCGTTTCCGGCGTCGGCGACGGCGGCGGCGACGGCGGCGTCAACAATGTATAAGTTTGTGATTAGGTCTAGTTTATGGTGATCCACTAGTTGTAGGTCGATGATATTTGGTATGCAGTTGTATTAGCATTGGCACATCTCATTACCATGGAGATTATTTAGCCCCGCCCCCTCAGTCATGGTTTATTGACTTTGAAACTTTGCTTAGTTTACATGTATCAGTTTGTGATTAGGTTAGTTTCTGCGGAACCACTAGTGGTAGGTCAATGATATTTGGTATGCAGTTGTATAAGCATTGGCATATATCATTTCAATGGAGATTATTTGGCCACACCCCCTCTGTCATGGTCTATTGACTTTGACATTTTTGATTAGTTTTCATGTATTAGTTTGTGATTAGGTCAGTTTCTGGTGAACCACTAGTGGTAGGTCAATGATATTTTGTATACAGTTGTATAAGCATTGGATTATCTCATTTCCATGCATATTATTTGGCCACGCCCCCTCTGTCATGGTCTATTTACTTTTAAATTTTTGCTTAGTTTTCATGTATTAGTTTGTAATTAGATCAGTTTAAGGGGAACTGTTAGTGGTAGGTCAATGATAATTGGTATGCAGTTGTATAATCATTAGCAGATCTCATTTCCATGGAGTATATATGGTCCTTACCCCTCAGTCACGGTCTATTGACTTTGAAACTTTTGCTTAGTTTACATGTATTAGTTTGTGATTAGGTCAGTTTAAGATGAACCATAAGTTTTAAGTCATTGATATTTGGTATGCAAAAGTATTGGTATTTGCAAGTTTCGTTTCCACTGAGATTATATAACCCCATCTCCTCATTTTGGTTTATTGACTTTGAAACTTTTGCATAGTTTACAAGTTAATGTTTGTGTTTAGGTTTGTTTAAAGAGAACGACACATGAAAAGTCAATGGTATTTGGTATGCAGTTGTATTAGCATTGGCACATTTGATTTCCATGGATATTGTTAAGCCCTGTACCTTCAGTCATGGTTCATTGACTTTAAATATTTGCATAACTTACATGTTAAAGTATTGCTATTTTAATTTCAACATATGCATTATCAAAATAACAAATAGGCGAGACATATCTCTGTGTTAACAGTTTATTTTTTATTGAATACGTAATGATTCAAGAAAACGATGACATTGACGACTTGATTTTAATACCTTCTTCAATTTTTATATTTGAATCATAGTTGTACGTTATTTATTACTTATTTTCAATTTTGATATACTGTTTCGAAATGAGAGTAGCACAATCGTGTAAATTATATGAATTAAACAACTTACTCATTTTGAACTTTAATTGGAAATTGAAAGACAAAGAAAAATCTTTTTATAACAGAGTTAAAGATGCAAATACCCCCAAAACAAAATACGCGTACACATGTCACACTTTTAAAAGGAATCAGTAATTATTCACTGCAAAACGATAATTCAAACATAGAAATATTAGCAGCTTCCTATAATAAGCACTCCTGAATATTATAAAAAAAAAATTAAGTTGAAGTCGATTATAGTTTTATAATTTTTCAGTATTGAAAACCTTTCTATTTGCTAAAAAAATATCATAAGAATTTTGTAGCTTCACCTTTCCTCCACTTTCAATATATCAATTTATCATACATATTTGCGTCTTTATATATATATATATATACAAGTCTAAATTGAAAACAACGTTCAAACCTATGATTGCGTTGGATAAAAATCGCAATTTTTATACGTGTGCATGCAAAACAAATTTCTTGTTAGAGGGGTCTAAATACAGCACAAACAACATTTTCCAAAGGACCAAAACAGTGAAAAAATTTATTTTAACAAAACGCATTTGACTAACAGGTCGAACAACAAATGTTCTTAAACCCAGCTGACTGCCATTGGCGATTGCCAAATAAACGAATCACCGATGTAATAAATGGATCTTAAATATAAATTTAATACTAAACAGAAAACAATAAACTTGCGGAAAAGATGTTATACCGCAAACAAAAGGTGCAAAGGTTTTTGTACACCATATCCGGATTTCGACAATTAATGTCTCTTCAGTGATGTTAGGAATCGAAACGGTATTTGGAAAGCCATACAATTTACCTCAATTTAGGATAGACTCCTGAATTTTGAGGAGTCAAAATAGGTTGAACGGATCATATAAACCCGAAGGCAAATATAATACAAGCCCAAACGAAAAAATATAAACAAGTTTAAATTGAAAACAACGTTCAAACCTATGATTGCGTTGGATAAAAATCGCAATTTTTATACGTGTGCATGCAAAACAAATTTCTTGTTAGAGGGGTCTAAATACAGCACAAACAACATTTTCCAAAAGACCAAAAAAGTGAAAAAGTATATTTTAACAAAACGCATTTGACTAACAGGTCGAACAACAAATGTTCTTAAACCCTGCTGACTGCCCTTGGCGATTGCCAAATAAACGAATCACCGATGTAATAAATGGATCTTAAATATAAATTTAATACTAAACAGAAAACAATAAATATATCACTTGTTTAGACGTACTTATCAAAATAATTATTCATGTGACTGTATCTTACGATCCTTTACGATAGATATATAGCTAATCTGCAATCAATTCCATCTTCATGCCTAATACATCATGTCCTGTGTTACAACTCTAGATTCTACTGACGAGGAAAGGTAACACTAGGCCACCGAAAGCTGAATTATTTTAGTTTAATCTAGGTGGCCAAGTGGTCTAGAGCGCTGGACACAGTGCAGGCGGTGTTGTCTCGATGTCCCAATAGCATGATTTCGAATCCCGGAGAGGGAAGAACAAAAATTTGCTTCCGCAAATTTGGAGATTTAACATTGTTGTGCTGACATTTAGAGTAATTATGAATATAATATGTGTTTTAGCCGTGTATCACCTTCACTGGTGCTCCAATGGATGGATCTGTCGTAGAGTTGTCACTTGTTTTAAAGAAGAACTTATCAAAATGATTATTTCTGTGACTGTCTTACGATCCTTTACGATAGATATTTAGCTAATCTGCAATCAATTCCATCTTCATGCCTAATATATCATGTACTGTGTTACAACTCTAGATTCTACTGACGAGGAAAGGTAACACTAGGCCACCAAGGTTGATTATTTTAGTTCAGTCTAGGTGGCCGAGTGGTCTAGAGCGCTGGACAAAGTGCAGGCGGTGTTGTCTCGATATCCCAATGGCATGAGTTCGAATCCCGGAGAGGGAAGAACAAAACTTTGCCTCCGCAAATTTGCAGATTTAACATTGTTGTGCTGATATTTAGAGTCATATTAGTATCCACAGGATAAATAAATTTCATTTTACTTTGTGTTCATATAAGGAACTCTTATCATACAATATATCAATTTTCGTAATGGTAGTCAAAATAATTTTTAAAAATATACATCGGAGTAAATCACATACCTATTGTCTGATCGAAAATACTGAGAAATCTTAACTGCTTATTATAAATTATAAGAAAATAGTAATACGGAAAAATTTACACAAAAACAATTGTGTGTCAAACATTTTGTTTGTGTATATTTAGGCAATTCAGTCTGTTTTTATTGTATAAAGAGCCGTTCAATTTTTCCATGGTTTGAATTCAAAATTATGTTCTCTGAAATCTGGTTAGTCAAACGTTAAGTTATTTGAATATAACTTTTTCAACAAAACAATGTTGATCTAAATCTCTAGAAATTTATGAATTTTTAGTAGCTCCTGATGAAATTCAAATTGCACTGACAATTAACATTCATTTTAAAACTTGTACGATGTATGTAATATACCAAATTTATTTTGTAATTTAGGAAAATAATTTAAAAAGGCTTCTATTTTTAAAACAAGTTACGTTAAATTGTGTTATGTATTATATATCTAGTTCGAAAAGCTCATTATTGTGTAATGATCTTGCAGCAAATTTTGTTTTTGCACATTTTAGTCCATAGTTTGTACGATTGGTGAACCCAATCTATTTAGAATAATATGGAAAAGATTATGCTTCCTGTTTGAAAAGCCAATGTCTTTGCCAACTCGGACAAAAGCTTTTAGTTTTTCTTTACGGACTTCCGACGATTCTAACTGATGATAATTTATAACTATGATTTGCCTTTCCTTGTTTAGTTTAAAGCTATGTCATATGTATTTCCACTCGGCAGTTGTCCAAACGGTTTGTTCTGTGTGATATTTGTCACACAGTATGATCATATATTTCTTGCAGATATTTATTGTATCTATCAATGCTTCTTCTCTAACATCCCCGAACTTCTCATTTCTACACGGTATAAAAATCCTATACCCAAAATCTTGCAAGTATGAGGCCAATGTCTTTATTACCCAAATCCGTATTTCCGTGTCATTATCATCAAAAGATATAAAAACGTCGTATTTGAGATATGGATAAACTTTCGAACATTTCTCTTTAAAATAAACAGTTCGTAGCGGAATGTATACAATACACCACAAATTCCCAAGAGCAGAGCAATTATTATTCCAATTAGAATATTAAAAAATGTCAAATTTGTGTCATTATTGCAAAAATTTCCAAAATCTAAATCAATCGTTGAAACATACATTTCTCCGATGAAGCAGATAATTTCGGTGGTGTTTTTGCATTGTTCTGCTTGCTTATTTTTTACCCAGTCTACCAGTCATTCATCATCACAATCGCATGATATCTGTATCTTTCCCAATTTCGTTATGCAGAGATTAAATGATTGAAAATCTCGCGGCAGCTCATACATTTTGTTGCCAGACAAATCAAGAATTGCGTTGTTGCCAATGGATTCAATGGCATTACTTGATATTGTATGTATCTGATTGTTTGATAAACTAATGGTATACGACCTGTTGAAATATTCCCGTTGTTCAAAAGATTCTATATTGTTACCTTCAAATAGTAAGGTTAAATTTTCTCCTTCCGGGACATATTGGAGCAATAGAGTTAATCCAACTCCAGTACAATTCACAACAGTTCTCCTGTTTTTCGGTTGATAAAAACAGTGACATTTTTTCGGACATTTCTAAGCAGATTTTTTGTTACAAATAAGCAAATCAAGTTTATCCCCTTTCACAAAATGTTCCGTAATTGACAGTCCCCGGTATTCCGCTGGATTCTAACATGTAACATTATAGTAATCACGCCAGATTTTTTTTAAAGCATCTTGTGTTAGTTCAAGGAATGGTTCCATTCGGAAATCACAAGTCCATTTCATCTTTTGCAAAGTTAATCCGAATTGCATTATTTTTACAAGAATGGTCATGTCGTCTATTCATAGATCTTTAAGAGAAAACGGTAGTATTTATTCTTTCATAGGCGACAATACTAACATTTTCTAAATTTACTACTTTTTATAATAAAAACCTGGACAAAACAGTTATGTGTGGTATTATTCTGTTTTAGAAATTGAACTCGAATAGTATCATGACAAACTTCCAACGGAGCTTGTTAACGTTATCCATGCCCACCGTCATTTTACATCAAATTTATGAAAAATTGGAAGTCTCTTCGAATAATTCTCGAGAAAATATTTCAATGGCTTTTAAAATTTATATTGTAAATATACACACTGCAGTTATTCATGAAAAAATATATGATACCCTTACATCCAATCACAGCGCTCCTAAGTTGACTTCCTTCACCTGCCTTGGGTACACAAAAGGCCAGCCTAAAGCGGGCAAAATGTAATACTACTTTTTTCCCTTAAAGTCAAATCATTGTGTGATATCATTTGCAGCTAAATCAACAAATCCTCCGTGATATATTTTGTTGACATTTAATTGAAAATTCTGTTCATTAACTATTTCGACGATTTTGTATGAAGAGAAATCATACCGACAGAAACGATTTTCTGGAACTAAATTACTTATATCAATTTTAGTCATATTGTTCGAGGACATATCGGCCAAACAAATTGACATCGTTGTTCCCGCCAGAGCGTATGGTTCCATGGTTTTAATTCCATTATGAGTTAATCTTAATTCTCTTAATAAAGGCAAATTTTGGAACGTGCTATTCCCAATTGAATCGATGGTATTATAACTCAAATCAAGTGTATCTAGCATCTGTAAACATGAAATGTTGCCAATCGATGAAATTTGATTATAAGTGGCTTCAATTTCTACGATATTCACAAAATCGCAAACATTATTTGGTAGATGTGATAAGAATCCATTGCTATTTACCAAACGTGAATTCATGATTGTTGTATCTCCTATGAGTTCAGCTGCACCCCCTCTACGTGTTTACTCCAAAACTAAATCATAAACGCGTTGAGCAACTTTCCAAGACGGTTCAGCCAAACACGTGCAACACTGATTTTTCGTTCTAACGTGAAGTGTGGGATCTAGTGTACAATGATCAGAAGGGCAAAGTAAGTTGTTCTGTTGACAAATGTCGGATTTCACTTTTCCCATGTCATTAATGTGGCGTGATATACAAATTGAGCAATAAATAAAACAAGAAAGATACCTCGACACATTGCTAGACTTGCATTTACTGTTTAGCTGAAGCGATAAGTAAATTTTTTGTATTTATACTCAGTGTAAAAAAGAATGATTAATTGTTCAATGTTAACCAAAAGAATTATTCAAAACAATCATACTGAACATTTAAATGGTTGCGTAAGTCCAATGAATTAATCGTATCAAAATTTAATAAACCATTAAACGTGTTTTTACAATAGCTTACAATATGTTATTTCTATAACGATAAATAAACAGACAACTCGCGTTGAAAACTTACAATAAAAAGTACAATAAAACACAATATTTAATACTTATAATGCAACAAATACAAAACCATGTATGAGTGGATATTTGATAGGCCCCAAATAACACATTTTACTAGATCCAAGTAGACAAATAACCCGATAGCCAGTGGATAGAAGAGGGCATATAAGGGACTCTATGATAACATACAGGTCAAAAATATCCCTTTTACTGTAATAATTGACAGGACGGAGAACACGCTCTGTTTACACAAATATCTGCAAAAACGACAGTCCATCTGGTTTTTGATTCAAAACAACCTGGATTACGTGTAATGCGGAAATAATACCTCCCTTCTGTAACCAACAGTGGAAAAGATTCCCTCGATGGCAACAGTGAACCGTTGGATTTTTTTTATACAATCCAGCATAGAGCAGGTAGGGTAGAGTTGTGTGCTTCAAGAAGACCGTTATAAGTCCGTTTATTGTCTCCCTGAACCGCCCCCGAAAAAGATCTGCGACTCTCCAGTTTCATTGCTTAAACTAACAATTATCTTTATTATGAAAAGTTTGATATGTACAAAATAATTAAATTCTTTTTTACTTTATTCACTTTATAAGATATGTAATCTGTCTAGAACCACGACACAAAATTAAAAGCAAGTCATAAACGGTTAATGCCTAATCAGCACTTCAAGAACGAATCTTCTCTACAATGTAATTCGACATAATCAAATTAATTCTTTCGTCACATGAACGCAGTATACATAAATTTACTAAATCTTTCATATTTTAGGGGGTACCCTGTGGGAGCCCCATTTTATATTCTTTACATGCAATTACAAGTACAAAGTTTAACTCAAATATTTACAATACATTTAAAGGGAGTGATGGATGGGATTTTGTGTTATTCAAATTGTTTTAATATAGTTAAAACTATTCTGCAATCATGTTCTAGTGTCACAAGAAAGAACAATACATGTGCTTTACACATTTAAGAAACAAAAAGCACGTGCTAATAGTCATTCTAAATCAACAAGGGCGTTCCTTAATACAAGTCACTGTAAGCTGACACTTTTATAATAAAATAAACTTATACCAGTGTGCTCATTTAACTCAATTATCCAATATACAATAACTGCTTATAATAAAATGATCACTGGCGTTGGAAAATTTCAATACAACAGATATATATATATATATATATATATATCGATTTAATACATACATTGTTTAATATGTATTATTAAACCTTCAAGTACAGTTAAGTGCAGATAAAGCACAACATTAAGTAAACGTTCATTAACGACACGTGCATCCAACTTTCGCGTTTTAAAACTAGTATACGAGGGTCTACTAAAATAATGTTAACACGGTCAAAATGTATGAAGGGCCGTTCGGGTCATAATTCAGTTTGTTACACGTACGCTAGAGGTACGCGTATCAGGTCGTTCACGTACCCTAGAGGTACACGTAACACTTTGTTCACGTACCCTAGAGTTAAACGTAACAGTTTGTCCACGTAACCTAGAGGTGCGCGTAACAGTTTGTTCGCGTACCCTGGAGGTAAGGATAAGGGAGATAACTCTGTAAAAAAACTGCTTGAAATTTTGCAACGACCGACAAAAAATGAAAATTACTGTTTTCAATGTACACAATCTGTTGCCAAAATTAATGTTTTTATAGGTTTAAATCAATAATTTTAACCGGGTTTTAAAACTTTAAATCAAGTAATGAATAATATTTTCCTACAGTTATGTAAATAGAACTAAATGTATTACTCCCACTTTATGTGTTTAAAAAATCTTTGAACCAAGTAGGAGTTATTGATAAAAATAAAAAGAGATAAACGCCGACACTTATTTAAAAAATTACCAAATGGTTTTAAGACAGTTTTTTCTACGATATGATATTTTAAAATAAGAATTCTAATTTTGAATATGTTTGTATCATAGACAGAAGAATATGTGGCCGAGTCGAATCCTTTACAGCTTCTTGTTTAACAAGCCGAGGAAGTACATTGTTGAAATTTGAAATGACAAAAAAAATTGCCAGAGTTATCTTTCCTGTTCCATTGTAAATCCCATAGTAAATACTTTCCTATAGTACGTGAACAAATAATAATTACGTGTAACTCTAGGGCACGTGAACAAACAGTAACGTAACTTTAGGGTACGTGAACAAAGAGTTACGCGAAAGTCTAGGGTACGTGAACAAAGTGTTACGCGTACCTCTAGCGTACGTGAACGAAGTGTTACGTGTACATCTAGGGTACATGTACGACCTGTTACGCGTACCTCTAGCGTACGTGTAAAAAAATGAATTATGACCCGAACGGCCTTTCATAAAAATGGAAATTCCTAATGTCTTCTCGAGTAAACGCGCGTTTTTTCCAGTAGTTAACGAGCGTTTACTTCAGATTTAACATCTTTACGTGCACTTAGAAAATGCTCGTTTACTCTTCCAGTTAACTATTTGTGAAAATTATAAATAAACTATATTATCTTGGTTTATCAATTTCTTTGAATACGGACATTGAAACGAAGCTGGGGTATTGTATATGGGCCTTTAAAAGGATTTTGTATCTTTTAGACAGCAACCCAACACCATTTCTTATAGTATGGATCTAGGGTAGGGTCCGGCCTATGCTTTTTCTCTAGGACTTCACAATTAAAATTATGCCCGTCTTTAGAATATTTTAAAGTTTTATAGGTATATTATTTACCGGCTTATGCCACCAGTTTATAAATGTTTTTTTAAATATAATATATTTGATGTTTATAATACCTAGCCCTCCACTGTCATAAGTAGCTTCTAGGACCTTATTCAAACAGCTTATAAAGAGTGACTAGTCTACTCTTATGACCAACTAGATGCTAACCTTTGACCTTGACTGCAGTCAGACTTTCATAGTATCTGATTATCTATACCAGAGTGAACAAGTCTGGTTTACTACCATCACGAGACAGGACAGGACCTGGCAGTGTACCAATTTAAGGTTATTGATGGAGTTCAATGAATTTACCGTAGAAGTCACAAATTCAAGTGTTCTGGATGAAGTTCAGTAAATTATTTGTCTTATCGGTTTCATACCTCAAGCATCAAGCTGCATCTGGGATGTAATGTCTCTCATTATATTTAATTCTAACTCAAATATGAAGAACAATTCCAATCTATCTTTATAGTTGCCTTCAGAGTAAAAGCTACTACATGTAAATAAGTCTGGGGTTATACAAAAAATAAAGGTTGAACAGACCGACGAACAAAATGTAACTAGCCCGACTTGATGATAGTGGTCGTTTCAAGCACGGGAGAACAAAAGTGTAGCCAGACTTTTCGAAAGCTAGTTCTCAGTTTCAGGACCAGTAAATTAACAAGGATACCAAATATTCAAAAAATAAGAACCCGTGTGTAAATTACTGAAAATTTAAACAAAATGCTCCCGTTCTGTCCTGAAAATGCTTACACGCAACCGGTCTGTAGACATGAAAAACATTTCAGCATATCAAAAGTTTAGAATTGACAGATGTCAAATATCAAACCTTGAAAGTTGATTCTCAAGGGGAACGGGGTAAAATCTAGGTAATAATTTGTACAAAGGGGAGTAACAAGGAGTAATCTAACTCGGGGCAGGGACAAGATTTTTCTCTGTAATAAAATAATTCAGTAAAGTACAACTTTTATTAAACAACAATTACACAATGTCTTTTACACAATGGTTCACTGTTATTACCAAATGTTCTCAAATGAAACAGCATACAAGTAATTCAAGTTATTTTATCCGAGTCAGGTCAAATCATTTTGATTTCATCAACTGGAATCCAATGCATATATTTTGCAAATCAAAATTGATATATTAAAACACAAGCTCGACTGGCATAGAAATGTAATAGTTTTATCACCTGACTCAAGCTAGCGAACAATAAGCCAGCGAACAATAAGATGCATCAAGCTAGCGAACAATAAGCCAGAGAACAATAAGAAAACGCACCAACATGATCATGCTTAAAAACCGAAGACTTGCAATAACACAAAACGTCCTTTTAAATCTAATGACAATAATTTCCAATAGGAAGACGAAATGCAATTACATTTTAACACAGACAAAGTTAATTAGTTATTCGTGTATCTAATACAACTTCTTTTTTAACCGGACATCTAAAATTCCTATTAGGTAATCCTTTCTCTTTTTAGTGCTCCTGATTAGAGATGAGTTTGTTGTTTTTATAATAATGAAACAATTAATAAAAATAGTTCACACTAAGTTAGTGTAACGATACAATTAAATCTTCTAGCTTATATATGCGTTTGAAAAGAAAAGAAAAATAAATCGACTGATTTTGGAACGTCAAGTATTTTTTGTTAGATTTTCTTTAGAAATAAAAGCGGATAATCGGTATACGCAGTTTTCTTCTTTTGTCAAAAAACTAGTTCATTTTTCTTATTATTCAAAAGTATGTCGTCACTCTGGTAATGTATAATTTTACTATATTTCGATAGGAAGAGTGATAAGTGTAAGAGTGGCACCCAAATAGAACGAGAAATGAATTGACATAAAGATTTTGGTTAATCTAAACGACAATTTTTTTGAATCTAAGTCTATGTAAAATCTGGACCCAACCCCTTCCCAATTGTCATCCATTAAAACTTCCCTACGGCAAATTAAAGCTTTTGTCCACACTAGGTACAAATAATAGGCAATTGCCT